GTGACATCTGAGTTTACCACTAACCTGCCTGATAATGTATGTATGGTATTACATACAGATGGTTTCTGTTCACACTGGTGTACTTATACAGTACAAATGTTCAGCCTAGCGTATCATGTAGAGGTCACGCTAAACATCAGTATCCATTGTGTTTACTGCTGCTGTACACTGAAGACATCAAATCAATAGATTTACTGCAGTATGGATTCCGATAATTCACTGTTCTGGGGTCAAACTGCGTCTATTATACCCATACTAGTGTCAACCATGCTCAAATAATCATTCCTCCAGTGCATCGGTTTAGGTCAGATTTATTTAAAACACGTGGCTTCTATAACATAAAAGCAATACAGACGCTGTGAAAGTAACTGTGAAACTATTTGTAACCATGAGGTAACGATCTCACTTCATGAATGACTTTAGAAATATCACACATTTCCAGTAACACAATGTAACAAACAGGTCTTAAATAAACGTTCAAAAGATTGTAGACTTACATCGTTGGGTCTCTAAAGCAGTATTTCGGTTGAAATGTTCGGTAGACGCTGCGTAGAAATGTGCTCGTAGCTTTTCATCATGGCTGCCTATTATAAACAAGCGTTTTAGCGCGATTCGAACATGACCTGTGATGGCGCACTCTACATGCGTAGGTGGTGCTATTAGCAGCCTTTCTGTTTTGACGAATCACGAAATAAAGATAACAATTGAAATTCTAAATAAACTTGTGTACAGCACAGTACGCTACTATCTTGCCACAGATTGTTTAGTAGTGGAGTGTTCGGTGACCATTGAATTAGCCCGTGATTCATATTTTATGTGTATTAATTTATTCAGCAATTTTCGTAACTGACAGTACTGCCCACATTTTAGTCAAAAAAACGCAACCGGTGAAACGGAAGAGCATCGCCAGGCGATGGATGAATGCGGGCTCTTTGGCAATGACCGCATAGAGGTCAAAATACGCGTTAAATTTGGCTCTTCCGTTTCGCCCCCTCCGGAATGTTCTTCGCAGCCTAATCGCAGGTTTTTCGAAAAACGTCGAAAAAACACAAGAATTAGTAGAAATGTTCCTGTTTTGGGCGGATTATTGATAGAGAATAATGTCTTTATTACAAAAATGCTGAAAAACCGTGAGTTGTTGCCTTAGTTATTTTTTTATTGGCGAAAAACTGCGAACTCGGCAAATTTGGTTGCACAACTTCCCTTTATCATATACACCCAGCGACACGGATGCCAGCTGACTGTGTACAAAACTGGTAGGAGGTAATACATTTGAGGCGAAAGTATTCAAAAATCGG